AAAAAAAAAAAAAAAAAAAAAAGACCTCTGGGTAATATGGGAATTCTTCATGTAATTGTGATGATGTACATGAAGTATATAATGCTTGTGGGATTTGAAATGTTAATTTGACAGCTCGGACACCCAGGAATCTTTTAAAGCATTAAGGCATAACTAACATGAAATGAAATCGCTTCCCTCCCGTCTGCCCTGGAGAGCTGGCAAGGGGAATTCCACAACGTGGTGACCCCAAAACTCCTTTGGGGAGGGCCAAAATCCAGCTTGCCCCTGCTGCAAAGTCCCCATCCCTCTCTCTGGATTGGATTCGCGTTACAATCCAGACGGCAGCACGGGAGAGGGATGGAAAAGCCGCACTGAGGAATGAATAGCCTGGAAGCGCTTCTCCTAACCTGTAATTAAGATGACTTACCCCAATTAGGGTGGTGAGCTGTTCCCTGGTGCAGGAGGTGGCTGGCAGAGCCCGGGGGGGGTCCATGCCAGGGTGCTGAGGCTCCCCCCGCGCCGCGGCTGACGGTTCTCCCGGGGATGGACCCGGGTCAGGGTGAGAGTGAACAAACAGGCGGTGGCTGCCGAGGAGGTGCCGACACGGCTCCCCTCACCCCGTGTCCCCAGCCGGCCGTGGGGGGAGGCTCCTGCTGGCACTGGGGACAGTGGCAGGGCTGGGGACAGGTCACCCAGACGCTGCTGCAGCCCCTGAAGGGCAGTTTGGAATGATGAGGAATGATTTTCCTCACCTGGATCGGGTATTGCCTGTGTGTGCCTTTACTGGGGGATCACTCCAGAGGGGTTATTCCTCCATCCCACCCCCCCAGAGCAGAAAGCAGTGACCGCACTGAGCAGCAGCACCGGTGGCTGTTGGCTGGGCACCCCCTCAGGGGGGTTTGGGGGATCCCCCCCTCTCCCCTGCGAAAGTGGACACTGTGTTTGCTGAGGCAGGGATTTGAGCTGTGGCTTCCCATCACCTTGCTCCCCTTCCTGGCTGTCCCCAGCTGCTGGTCTCAAGCTGGAGCCCCTCTGCTGTGAGGACAGGCTGAGAGAAAAGGCTCCGGGGAGACCTTAGGGCCCCCTCCAGTCCCTAAAGCTGGGGGGGGGACTCTGGATCAGGGAGGGGAGCCCTAGGAGGAGGGGGAAGGGTTTGACACTGAAAGAGGGGAGATGGAGCTGAGATGTGGGGAAGAACTTGTTTGGTGTGAGGGTGGTGAGAGCCTGGCCCAGGTTGCCCAGAGAAGCAGAAAGCCAGGGGCACTCTCCCCGTGGGTGCTCCCTCCCTCCCTCACCATCACAGCTCCCATTTTTCTTTCAGCTTGCGGAAAAATACGGCCCCATCTTCACCCTCCACTTTGGGTTCCAGAAAGTCGTGGTCCTGACCGGGTACGAAGTTGTGCGGGAGGCGCTCGTGAACTACTCAGAGGAGTTTGTAGACAGACCATCCATCCCAATATTTGACCAAATTCAGAACGGAAACGGTACTAGAGAAAGGCGGGGGGGCGGGCGGGGGGGACGACGCCGTCGCTTGGTGCCAGCCAAACTGTGCTTCCCCGGAGCCCGGCTTTTAAACATCCCCCTTGGACCCTTCCCAGGCCAAGCCAACAGAAAAGATTTGGCTTTCTGAAAAGCCTCCTGGCTTTTTGCTGCCGTGGTTTTTCCTAATGCACTTGCAGCTGATCCATACCCTAAACGTTCAAGGGTGAGGAGTGGGATTTTTAAAGGCACCGTGGTAATTCTGGGCTTAATTTCTGTAAGACGTCCCTGAGAGCGGCTCTCCATCACCACCACCACATTTACAAACCTCCCCCAGGGTTCCAGGGGGATTTGGATTGACTGGTTTGTAGGGTTTTTCCCTTTCTCCCACAGCCAGGTGCCACAATTTTGGCCACCATCAGCCCCCCCTGTGCCTTGCCTCCCCACAAAACCCCTCGGGTGGACCACAGGAAACAGGTTGAGGCAGAAGCAATAGGCTGAGAATTTGCCCCCACAACCAACCTCAGGGTTTTTCCAGGGCAACCGAGTATTTCAGAGGCCTTTTTTCCTCATTTTCCATCCTCTGAGGCTTTAGCTTTGAGCATCCAAAAGGCAGCTTTATATGCTGGTCACAGGCTGAAGTTGGTCTTACAATTAGAAATTAAATTACCCAGCCATAATATCAACATATGAATTTATCGCTACATAAGGGAAAGGAATCGATGGGGAGAAAAGCATTTTTCAGAGCTAATTTACATGTAAAATATCCCTGTGGGAGACTGTCAGTATTGCACTATAAGTCCTTTCACACTTACCTCCTCAGCCCAAGTCTGAGCCACTTAGAGATGACCCAAAGCTGTAAATTCACAGGAACTAAGTCACGATGGTCACAAATTTTCCCGTGAAACACTTTTTCTTCAGAAAATGCCAATCTGTTGACTCCAGAGCTGTTTGCAGAAAAGGAATGACCCAGATGAAATTGCCTGAATTAAAGAAAAAATAAAAATGAAGTTTAGAAATTTGCTTTGACATTTTTAGAGCAAGAAAATTGGTTTTCCAAACTAAAACTACCCTGCTTTGAAACAGTGTTTATTCTAGACAAAAAAACCAAAGGCATTTAAAAACCTTGCAGCCAAGATGAAGATGTGAAGTGCTAGGATCCAGCTTTTCGATTGACATAACTTGAGATAGTCTTTGACTTACTGATAAAATTTTTTTCTTTCACTATTTCCAACCCCCTGACAGATGAAATACCCATCCCTGCTTGGTGGTGTTAGTGGTCAGCAAGGCGTGAGCTGAGTGACCTCTACAAAATGATCGTATTTTTGCCACTGCTGAAAATATAGCATTGCTGGCAATCTCCATAAAGCAGTTCAGCACTGACCAGGGTTCAGGAGACTGAATTATCCCACCCCACATAGATAAAATCCCTTTATGAGTGGAATGGGATGAAAGGAGAAGCTTCAAAGACACAAGGTTGTTGTAAAATCCCTTTATGAGTGGAATGGGATGAAGGGAGAAGCTTCAAAGACACTTGAGGCCTTAGACTTGCAACCAAACAGGGTCAGAAAGTTGTGTGATTGACTTAGACTGCCATCTCTCCCCAGCTCTACAGCCAACCAGTACTGGTTTGAAACCATTTCTGCTGAACTTCCACTCAGGAGAGGGCTGGGACAGACTGGGTTGGGTGGGAGTTGCTGAGACTCAGTGAGACTGGGCGAATGTTGCTGAGAGGATACAGGGATGGGGCACACAGAAACGGGAGACCCTTTCTGTGTCTCCCAAAGTGGGAGACTGGGCAAATCCATGGGAAACTGGGCAGCAGGAACGCTTGTGGAGACCCCTCCTCAGCCGGTCCCCTGTTCTGCTCCGTGCGGTGGGGCTCCTCCGCGCGTGAGCCCAGCGGCGATGCCTCACGGCCTCCCCAGGTTTATTCTTCTCCATCGGGGAGCTGTGGAGAACAACTCGGAGGTTCACCGTCTCCAGCATGCGCAACCTCGGCATGGGGAAAAAAATGATAGAAGGGAAAATTTTCGAGGAGCTCCACTTCCTCATCGAGATGATCAAATCCTTCAAAGGTGAGCTGGAGACCACCGCGGCGCTGCACAGCCCCATACGTGTCACTGCTGCTGCAACATCTCACTAACGTCCCCATCCTCCTCCCCTCACAGGGGAACCTTTTAGCCTGACGTCCTTCAACTGTGCTCCCATCAACATCACCTTCATCATGCTGTTCGGGGACAGGTTTGACTACAAGGACCCAACATTTCTCACTCTCTTAAGACTCATAGATGAAGTTATGATCCTTCTGGGATCTCCGTATTTGAACGTAAGTGACCTGTTCCACAGACTAATTTTTTTTTTTTAATGCTGGCCCGTTATATTTGGGAGCCTCACAAATCTTAGGATTTAGTTCAGCAGTTTTCAAACATTCAGAACCAGCAATTACACCTAAAACATGACAGTTCTCCTGTCACACCACCTCACTCACCACACGTGTGCAGCCAGATCCCAGATTTTTAGCCAGATTTTGCTACTCTCCTTTTGAACCACCCTGTGTGGAGCTACAATGAGAACTGAACTATGATTATTTTAGCTCCACAGATATTTTGGGGGGGCACTTTCAACATAATTGCTCCACACAGGAGCCCCAACTCTGTTGAGAAGCTGACCAGGCTCCTGGTTCCCACAGAACAGCATAAATGCTAATTTTAGGTAATTCTAAATAAAGACTCAAAGGTTGCAGAGCACTCCCTTATGAAAATCTGCCCAGGAAGTCCCCGAGATGCCAAGATGATACGACTACAAGACAAAACTCACCTGGCATCTCTTGCCTTAGGAAGAAGCTGTTTCAACATGCTGATATTTCTGCAGAATTAATGCTTCTCTCTTTTTAATTCCTCACTAGTATTTCAATTTCTACCCGTTCCTTGGATTTCTTTTCAAAACCCACAAGATCATGCTTGGGAAAATAGAAGATGTGCGCGTCATTTTAAGGCAATACATCAAGGCAAGCAGGGAGGACATCAACGAGAACAGCGTGAGGAGCTACATTGATGCACTGATTTTCAAGCAACAAGAGGTATTTGACTGTTTAGCTCTGTTGACTGTTTTGCAATGTCTCCTTTAGATTTTTCTCGCTAAAATACTTGCTGAATCTTGATTTCAGACATTTAAAAACCTTGCAGCCAAGATGAAGATGTGAAGTGCTAGGATCCAGCTTTTCGATTGACATAACTTGAGATAGTCTTTGACTTACTGATAAAATTTTTTTCTTTCACTATTTCCAACCCCCTGACAGATGAAATACCCATCCCTGCTTGGTGGTGTTAGTGGTCAGCAAGGCGTGAGCTGAGTGACCTCTACAAAATGATCGTATTTTTGCCACTGCTGAAAATATAGCATTGCTGGCAATCTCCATAAAGCAGTTCAGCACTGACCAGGGTTCAGGAGACTGAATTATCCCACCCCACATAGATAAAATCCCTTTATGAGTGGAATGGGATGAAAGGAGAAGCTTCAAAGACACAAGGTTGTTGCTTGAGGCCTTAGACTTGCAACCAAACAGGGTCAGAAAGTTGTGTGATTGACTTAGACTGCCATCTCTCCCCAGCTCTACAGCCAACCAGTACTGGTTTGAAACCATTTCTGCTGAACTTCCACTCAGGAGAGGGCTGGGACAGACTGGGTTGGGTGGGAGCTCGTTCTTCCCAAACTACAGGCTCAGTGAGACTGGGCGAATGTTGCTGAGAGGATACAGGGATGGGGCACACAGAAACGGGAGACCCTTTCTGTGTCTCCCAAAGTGGGAGACTGGGCAAATCCATGGGAAACTGGGCAGCAGGAACGCTTGTGGAGAGTCCTCCTCAGCCGGTCCCCTGTTCTGCTCCGTGCGGTGGGGCTCCTCCGCGCGTGAGCCCAGCGGCGATGCCTCACGGCCTCCCCAGGTTTATTCTTCTCCATCGGGGAGCTGTGGAGAACAACTCGGAGGTTCACCGTCTCCAGCATGCGCAACCTCGGCATGGGGAAAAAAATGATAGAAGGGAAAATTTTCGAGGAGCTCCACTTCCTCATCGAGATGATCAAATCCTTCAAAGGTGAGCTGGAGACCACCGCGGCGCTGCACAGCCCCATACGTGTCACTGCTGCTGCAACATCTCACTAACGTCCCCATCCTCCTCCCCTCACAGGGGAACCTTTTAGCCTGACGTCCTTCAACTGTGCTCCCATCAACATCACCTTCATCATGCTGTTCGGGGACAGGTTTGACTACAAGGACCCAACATTTCTCACTCTCTTAAGACTCATAGATGAAGTTATGATCCTTCTGGGATCTCCGTATTTGAACGTAAGTGACCTGTTCCACAGACTAATTTTTTTTTTTTAATGCTGGCCCGTTATATTTGGGAGCCTCACAAATCTTAGGATTTAGTTCAGCAGTTTTCAAACATTCAGAACCAGCAATTACACCTAAAACATGACAGTTCTCCTGTCACACCACCTCACTCACCACACGTGTGCAGCCAGATCCCAGATTTTTAGCCAGATTTTGCTACTCTCCTTTTGAACCACCCTGTGTGGAGCTACAATGAGAACTGAACTATGATTATTTTAGCTCCACAGATATTTTGGGGGGGCACTTTCAACATAATTGCTCCACACAGGAGCCCCAACTCTGTTGAGAAGCTGACCAGGCTCCTGGTTCCCACAGAACAGCATAAATGCTAATTTTAGGTAATTCTAAATAAAGACTCAAAGGTTGCAGAGCACTCCCTTATGAAAATCTGCCCAGGAAGTCCCCGAGATGCCAAGATGATACGACTACAAGACAAAACTCACCTGGCATCTCTTGCCTTAGGAAGAAGCTGTTTCAACATGCTGATATTTCTGCAGAATTAATGCTTCTCTCTTTTTAATTCCTCACTAGTATTTCAATTTCTACCCGTTCCTTGGATTTCTTTTCAAAACCCACAAGATCATGCTTGGGAAAATAGAAGATGTGCGCGTCATTTTAAGGCAATACATCAAGGCAAGCAGGGAGGACATCAACGAGAACAGCGTGAGGAGCTACATTGATGCACTGATTTTCAAGCAACAAGAGGTATTTGACTGTTTAGCTCTGTTGACTGTTTTGCAATGTCTCCTTTAGATTTTTCTCGCTAAAATACTTGCTGAATCTTGATTTCAGTCTTGTCATTTAAACCTACTGAAATCCATGCTGCTGTTCTGGTGGTACAGAAACCAGACACCAGTCTCTTACGGCTGGTAATTTACTGCAGGGATTTTTCTATCAAAATTAAGATCTAAAAGGCACTGTCTCAGTCCACTCCTGGAACAGCAGCGCTAATAACCTGAGATCTACTCCTTGTTCCTAGTAGAAATTGCATGAATTCACATGAAAGCTGACTCTGCCTTTCTTGTTACAACAGCAAATCAATTAATCATCGATACTGTTGTTCCAAGATGAGTGATACGCTTAAAGCACTTGGATAATAAATCATCTGTACAAGTCCTAGCCCTGCCCTGCATCTTACTTTAGCAGAGACTTGGCAGTTTCACACATCAGTTGAGTTCATTCGACACAAAATATTTGGGATCTGAGTTTTTTCTCCTTTCTGGATCTGGGCCAACCTTAGGCACAAAGTCTTCTACCCAGCTACGTGGAAGAAGGGTCAGTAGAGTCCTAAAGCCCAGCATAAATGGCCTGAAGGGTCATTTTGAATGTTGTCGGGGATTCAACCCTGCCCTTGGGCAGGAGGAGCTGCTCAGACCTAGGAATAGCTGAATCTCCTTCTGTACAGGGGAGAGACCAGGCTCTTTCCAAACCTGTGAAGGTCCATGAACAGCATTTGGTGCTGGGCTTCTGCTTCTGGGTGGAGATGGAACAACCCAAAACTCCACTCCAAATCTCCCATCTTTGGTGCTCCCACCTTTGGTGAACACTTTGCATTCAAGATCAGGTCTATTTTAACACCCTGTTCACAAACCCAAGACAATGGTCAGGGGTGCTGCAGGCCATGCGATATTTCCCAAGCGTGGGGAATACTAACACTGATGGTTTTAAGACCTTTCTTATCACTTGTGTTTTTCAAGGAGAAAAACAAGAAGGACAGCCTCTTCCATGATGACAACTTAATAGCATCCATACTGGACCTGGTCATGGCAGGAACAGAGACCATAGCCACGACGATCCAGTGGGCCATCCTGCTGATGATGAAATACCCGGAGATTCAAAGTGAGCTCCTTTCCCCCCGTCCATGGCACAGCAGATACGGGGAGGGGAGAGTCTGGGACACAGATCCACAGGAGCTCCTGCACCTTAAAAACTGAATCCCACCTCTCTGTTATTATGAACTCCCGATGTAATTAGATGCTAGTCAAAGTCACGACCAAATTGTCCCTGTGCCTTGCTGGGAGAGAGGAGGAGTGGAGATTGAAGCATGACACCGGGAAAACAACCCATCCATATGTCTGAAGTAGAAATAGAGCAGAGAAACCCTGGCATTTTAAGAATCCTCTCCCTCCAGACCCTGGAAAAATATCATAGAATCACAGAATGACCGAGGTTAGAAGGGACCTTTCAGACCATCTAGTCCAGCCATCAACCTAACACTGACAAAAACCATTGCTAAACCATATTGCTAATATGTTTTTACCAAAACTGAATCAGGAACCGGCTTTCTTGCTGGAACCCAACTGTGTTTGTTCCTTTCAGAAAAGGTGCAGGAGGAGATTGGGAGAACTGTCAAAGCTGGAAGCTGGGCCACATATGAGGATCGGAAGAACATGCCATTTACAAACGCGGTGCTACACGAAGTGCAGAGGTTTATCACCCTCCTGCCCCACGTTCCCCGCTGCACTGCTGTTGACACCCACTTCAGGGGCTACTTCCTTCCCAAGGTAGGTTCCAGCCCAGGAACACATCACCTTCCTCGTTTTTGCTAGTGCCACTAGAGATGGGTTTCTTTAGAGGGAGTTCTAGGACAGAAACCCAAAGTAGGTATCCAAACTCACTTCCAGAAGAGTTTCTATGTTGAGTCTATGAGATCGGTATTGTAGGACTATTGTGTCCTAGTTGAGCCTGTTCAACCATACTGAGTCCAGACAGACTGATCTTGTAGGACTCAGTTCAGTCCCTCTCATGCTCAGGACTTTATCACTCCATGGGTGATCCCGGTTTGCCTCCTCAATGCCATCTGCATGGTGAAGTATCTGCCAGGGAATTTACAGGATCTGACCCTCTGCTTGAAGCTTTCACAGCCCCCACGTAGGGTTTGGTTTCAGTCCTTGGCACTGCTGGGAAAGTCTCACTCACTTCTCTCTCTACTGGCTATGGGGATAAAACCCTGAGGGTCTCCACCTACTCCAGGTGGAGCAAAATCTCCTGGATACCAAAGTCTGTGTCACAAAATGAACCAAAACAGAGTGCTTTTGCTGTCTTTTGTGCCTTCAAATACTTTTCTTCCAGGGTATAATTGTAATCCCGTCGCTCACCTCAGTGCTGCTGGATAAGACGCAATGGGAGACACCACATCAGTTCAACCCCAACCACTTCCTTGACACTGAAGGGAATTTTGTAAAGAGAGAAGCTTTCCTGCCCTTCTCCACAGGTAACCAAAGGGCTGACCTGCACAGAGCTATGGCAGGACCACCATTTTACTGCAATATACATTAACGTGGTCTTCATGGCCAAGTACTGCCTTTAACCCAGGCAGTAAGCACCCAGGTAAGTGAACGGAGTCAGTTATCCTACATCCAGGCAAATGGCTGCTCTCGGAGCACGCCTCTCCCACCACTGAAGGGGCTGGTTCCCAAAGCTTCACTGGGAGAGAGGACAAAGAGATATACTGCCTCCATAAGAAGGTGGAAAAATGCCTTAAAGCTGTCAGGAGCAAGTGGATAATCAGAGAGGGCTGGTGGGGCTGCCAGCACGGGGTTTTGTGAGCTCTTTCCATCAAATAAACACGCTGCTTCCCTCCGCAGGGCGACGGAACTGCATTGGAGAAAGCCTCGCCAAGATGGAGCTGTTTGTCTTCTTCGTAGGGTTGCTGCAGACATTTACTTTTCAACCCCGGCCAGGAGTTTCGGAGGCCGACCTGGACCTTACCGTCCCCCAAACGACTTTCACATTAAGGCCTCAGCCTCAGGCAACCTGTGCTGTCCTACGCGAATAGCCACGGCCTGGCTGGAGAGCAACCCAACAAGCACAGAAGCTGCTTAGACCCAACTTAGCCACGCTAGGACTCACCAACCCTCCTTCACATCCCCTTCCCACTGTCTCCACCCACTCCCACTCCATTGCTCCCCACCACCACATCTGCCCCATAGGCTGACGCCCCCCTCTTTGCTTCTGTGCTGCCATCAATTAGAAACCACGACCATGGTTGACAAACACAGGCTTCCTCTCAAGACAGACTGTCTATGGAGCAAATGGAAGGACCATGGAGATGGTCTGGTGAAGGGGGTGCAGCCCACCAGTAGTAGGAGTGTCAACCCAGGCTCCCACGGGAAAGCATTGAGGCTCATAACGTCGCAGAAATCTGCCCAAAATCCTGAGAAAAGACACTCCACCATTTGCTAAAAGCCACAGAAATGCACTCTAGGTCACACACCTGAACCCTCTGCAGGTACCTCCTGAACTTTTCCAAGCTCCCTAGTTGTCCACAGCTTCTAGCGAAATCCTCCCAGGCTGGGTAGCCAAGTCAAACACCCAGAGTGAAAAACAGATCGATTCATGTGATTTGAGAATAAAGGTATTTGTGCCCTGGAACAGTGTCCTGAGAGATGCCCCAGAGTCTGCAAAGTCATTTAGATAAGCAAGTGCTCACCACCAAGTTGAACACGGCTTCACGGTCTGAACAAAAGAAGATCTACATTTCTAAGTTTGCAGTCTGAATCATGAGGCCATGTGAGATTTGTACCAGCAACCGATCACAGAAGGCTAATGACACAGTCCCATTTCTAGTTTTATGGATCTCTGTCTTTCCTGTTAAATAGGAATAAACACTGTTCCTCTCTCAGACCTCCTGGGCCACGCTAGGAGCCACCACCAGCAGCCAGTCTGGTCTTTGGGATGGCCTGGCCATTGGAACCAGCCATGCAATTTCCTTGCAAAGGTGTCTCATTTCTCAGTGCTGGTATTTCACGCTCACACACGTGGAGAATTGGGATCAGGGATTAGACAAGACCTGGTTTGGGTTGTTTTCCTTTCCTCCGTAGCTCTGTCTGGCTGTTTTCCTGCCTGTAGCACTCTTATCTGCCATCATATTCCACAATTTTACTCCAGTTGAAGTATAGCTCAGGCAATTTTTCATCCACTAATCTGCCTGTGAATTGCCACTTCTCCATGTGCATTTTCTTATCATGTGCTTTATGATACTGTTTGTTTCCCCCATCGTGGGAACCAAATAAAGTTTTAATCCCAATGTCTTCATCATATTTCATATGCCTGATACCCAACTTTGCTAACACAGAAATGAAAACGCCACGAAAGTTCGATCCCGTACCCAGAGTGACAAAGAATACTCTTAAGTTTTACTTTTATCTCATGGGTGAGAGGTTCTGCATACCCTTAATCGACTAAAAACCAGCTCAACAGGAGACTCTCTGTATCTGCAGAGTGGTTTCTCCAGGGCAAAGAGCTTTTCCTTTGTGCTCAGCTTTGGGCTACTAGTCTATCCTGGGGAGAGCCTTGGGTTTTCACTTTTTCATCTTCAACTCCTGGTTTCAGAGGCTGAATGAAAGGTTCCCACCACAACTTCACTGATGTTGGTGCTGTCCCTCTGCCTCGTGCCTTGGACCCTCAGCCTCTCACCTCCTGTCCTCCCAAAGCATCACCTGCTGGCAATGTCACTCCTGAGCAGTGGCAGCAGGATGGGGTCATCTTCAGGGAAGGTGTGGAGAGACAGGTAAAGCAACAGTGGAGTAGGCCACGTTATCAACTCAGTGAAGGAAGCCTTGGCCCTGTTGTACATTACTCCGAAGGTAAACTCAAAAGAAATACAGCAACAATCTTGAGCTTTGGGGGACAAACCTACCTGGGCTGGCTTCAAATCTGCATGAATCCTCTGGTGGAACCTCAGCCCTGACTCCTTCCTACGGGGTCTCAGGATCCTGGCTTTGAAGGAGAGAGATGGATCCCCTCCTACAGGGCACAGCAGCCTTTGGACATCACCTTCTGCCCCAGCACTTGCTGTCGGGCAGAGCAGAGCTCAGGGTGGTGCTGGCCATGGACAGAAACCCATCAGCCCCAGCAGGAGCCCTGAGCTGGCACGTTCAAACACTGAAGGAAAACAGGTTTCTTTGATTCCTTTGAAAAGTGCATCCCCCTTGTGCCTGCGTTGGCAGCTGGATGGAGGCGATCACTCCCCAGCACGCTGAATCAGGCACCTGAATACATCTCCCCAAAAGAAAGTGCCCGCCTCCCATTTATTTGTTCAGCCAAACGATGGCAGAACATTGATTATGACTCAGCTACACAATTATCCAGCAGAAAACATTGGCTCTCGGGGGTGGAAATACCATTTCCACATTCCTCAGCGGCCCCCAGGGTCTTCTCTTGAGCTGCAAAACATGTTGGTGCCTTGCAACACGCTGACCTGAATTGAAGGCAAACATCTCGGGGCAGGGCAGGTGGCTGGATTTTTAAAGTCAGATCTGAACAAATCCAGCCCACGCTGTGCCTGTGGCTCGTGCCACGTGGAGCTGGCAGGGCATGTCCCACAGCCCAGCCTGCCACCCCGTCCCAGGACCGGGGGCTTCTGCACTCATCAAGGACTGAAGTGAATGCATAGATTTGCAAAACCAGGTCTGTCTTGTACCCGCAGCCCCTCTGGGCACTGGCCAGAGCAATTAAGCCGTGTGCAGAATATAATTTCTATTTTCTTTTTGCCACGAGATGGCACCACGATCCCTCGGAGTCGCAGCCAGCCCGGTCCTTACTGGGGTAAAGCGACCTGCCCACCACAAACTGGGGCTGTTGGAGGAGGGCAGAGCTAAGCCATGAGGGTTTATGCACCCCCAGCCCAACAGCATCCATCTGAGAGGAGAGCTGGGGCCAAAGACATATGCACTATTTATTTACCATTAACCTGGGACAATCGGGCAGCACACAGGGAACAGGAGGGCTCTTCTCCTCCCATCCTACAGCAGATGAGGGGAACCTAGAAAGTCCAGCATTTGGCATCTGGGATTCAAAACCAGAAGTCTGGGAAGTGTGGAAGAGCATCCATCAGACACAGAAAGAGCAGGTGTCTGGAATAATTTATCCCGTGTGCAGCAGGGAAAAGAGCAGGAATTAGACACAATATTTGTATCTAGTGTGGAAGAGCATCCATCAGACACAGAAAGTGCAGGTGTCTGGAATAATTTATCCCATGTGCAGCAGGGAAAGGAGCAGGGATTAGACACAATATTCATATCTAGTATCACTCTGCAAGTGAAGAAATGATCCACTCTTGAGAACCATCTTCTCCCAGAAGCTCAGAGCCAAAATAACTTTCTTACGTTGCATATTGGATGTGTAAAGTCGTGGCTGTCCTGTCATTTCCAGTCACGTATCTGGCTGGAATTTTCCAGGTAACCTCACCCACCAGCCCTCCTCTGCTTCTCTGAAAAATACTTGTTCAACAGGTATTTTAATCACTTAGCCAGCACCTGCAAGGCTTTGAGTGAGAAGACACTTATGGCTACTGCACAGGGACCTGACTTCTCCTCTGTGCATCTGCTGGGCCCTGCACAAAACGACGAGGTGGGTCTTTCCTCAGTTGAGGGCCTGTTGGCGTAGCACGGCGCAGGCGCACTGCGGATGGGGCCTCATGGTGAACCCGGCCTCCGCAGTCGTGTCCAGCTCCGATTCTTTCACCCCAGCTGGGGGCTGGAAAGTAAACTTCTGGATCAGGCCCGTGAAGAAGACGAAGAGCTCCGTCGTGGCAAGACCTTCTCCAATGCAGTTTCTCCGCCCTGCAATGCCAAAAGTTGGTGGAGAGGTTGGGTAAGCGGTGGCTCAACCTGACTTCTCTTCCTTACCACTTGGTAACAACAGCGTGAGGGACAGTACAGGCTTCAGAAACACCAAATATCATGGCATGACATTCAGCAGCCATCCCCATTCATCTCCTTCAGGCATTTGAAGGGGGCTGTTTTACTCTCAGCCTGCAGGGAATTGGTGTGGGACACCCTGGACACCAGCCTTCCCAAGACAGAGGGAAGGTTGAATGTTTGCTTGAAGGCGTTGAGTCTTCTGTAGGTCCCAGTGGTGTCTTTAAACACCAGGACCTGGTGTGTGCCTCCCAGCATGGGCTGAGGGGCTTTTGCAAGCCATCAAAACCCAGGGTGGGTATTTCTAGACCACCCCCACCACTGATGTCCGTGCTGTTCCTCACAGAGGCTTGGATCCTGCCTCTTGGCTAGGACCTTCTGAGGGGCACTGGGAAATCAGCGCAGGATCAAATGTTTTCGTTACCTATGGAGAAGGGCAGGAATGCCTTCTTCTTTACGAAGTTTCCATCCGCATCAAGGAAATGGCTGGGGTTGAACTCGTCTGGCGTCTCCCACTGCGTTTTATCCAGCAGCACAGAGGTGAGCAGAGGAATCACCATCGTTCCCTGCAGCACAACCACACTCTGCTTTAGCACGTGAGGACGTAGCAAACTTCTGGCTTTGCCCATTCAGCCACATCCCTCCCTTTGTGTTTGGGAGCAAACTTCTACCTCCGAAGAACTAATTTCTGGGCTTGTGCATGACCATATGACCCTTAGTTAGTGGGGATACCCACTTTGCTGGAATTTCTGACTAATATGTGATGAAACAACAGTGGCTGTTGGCCGTTCCTGAGTTCTGAAGAAGAAGACAGATGTGGACCAGGCTTCCTTCCTGCCCAGCTCCTCTCTACGTGCCTCATGCAGGCAACGAGACGATGCCGTGGTACTCCAGGGCATGCTCTACAGGGCAGGAATGGCAATGGAGAGCGAAGAGAATACGAAAGAGGCTCCAGGTTATGGGAAATGGGAAGTTGTGTGTGTAACCCTGAAGTCACACTGCCCTCCATCTGGGCGCGGAGGGGACAGGGAACTGACTCTTCCCCCCAGAAAGCCCTGTGACATCGTGTCCTGTGGGTCACTGGTGTGCTGCACCCCCCTTCCCTCTGGAGAGCAGCAAGTACCTTGGGGATGAAGTAGCCCCTGAAGTGGGTGTCAGCAGAGGTGCAGCGGGGAACGTGTGGCAGGAGGGTGACAAACCTCTGCACCTCGTGGATCACCGCGTTGGTAAATGGCATTTTTTTCCGGTCCTCGAAGGTAGGCAAGCGGTCAGGGCCAAGGACTCGCTCGATCTCTGCGTGCACCTTTTCTGGAGGGCAAGGGAAAGGCATAAAGGGAGCTTTCTTTGGTGGCAAAGCACCTCCAAATCCCAGCTCCTGATGACTCTTGGCTGGACTTCCCCAGGCAGGGGGTTGCCCAGCCCCTGGGAGCAGAGAGGGGACAACCTCTCAGATCCTTTGGTCCTGAAGGAACGCCAGGACAGGTTGCAGGTGCTCAGATGTTGGATGCATGAGAGGCTACGAGGTGAGCGGTGCTTAGGGGGTCACTGTGCCCCACGTAAGAAGAGCAAACCCATAAAGGTGCCTTACCTTGGATCTCAGGGTGCTTCATCAGCAGCAGGATGGCCCACTGCAGCGTCGTGGACGTTGTCTCAGTGCCAGCCACGAGCAGGTCGAGCGCAGAGGCCAATACATTTGCGTCGTGAAAAAGCGTATTGCTTTCATTTTGCTCCTTTAGGGAAATAAAAAGAGAAAAAAAAATCCAAAACACTGCTGTTAGCATGGAAAGAGAGAACTGGGACAGGCAACCTTGTCTTCAGAGACATCACAGTGGGATGCATGTGAAGTACAAGTGCCAAGACGTACTGCATTGACAGGCCATTCCAGAAATGCCTCAGTTTACAGCAGGAATATCTTCACACTTGAGATTTTGCCCCCCCAAAATGAACTAATTGGAGTAATTCATTGGTTTTTCAACATCATATGACATTTCTCTGCTCTGGGCAGTGGTTATCTGATTGACTCAGCACTTCCACCCCCTGCCTGTGGGTCCCAAGAAGGTGAGAAATTGATGGGAGGTGGAGGAACACGATAGAGTGTGTTCATTAGACAAGAAACACAGAGCATCTCGGTAGGAGACACCGCGCTAAGAATTGTCATATCATTAAAATACCTCTTGTTTGAACACCAAAGCATCGATGTAGCTCTTCAGGTTGTCTTTATTAAGACTTTCTTTGCTTTCCTGGATGCACTTCTTTAAGACCACACACATCTCTTCTACATTTTTCAGTATTGTCTTGTGAGGTTTGAGGAGAAATCCAAGGAATGGGTAGAAATTAAATAACTAAAAAGAAAAAAAAAGGTAAGAAAAATCACAGAAGAAAAATTAAATTCACCCATTACCTTGTAAATCTCAAGTATCATAGTGGAGAAATCATTTATGTCAGAGACCAAATGACATGTGATTGGGATCCCTCTTTTTTGGTAACTAAAAAATTTTAATGTATAAAAATGCCTCCTCTTATTAAAAGTTCTCTATAGAAATGAATGGAGCCTATCAGACTTGTCTAGACAGAGCCTATAAACACGAATTTAAAAAAGTACAATTAAGGGAAAGTGATAATAAACTCACGAAACAATGAAATTACATTTTAAAAGAGGTAATAAAGTAAAAAGATAAAGCATTACGCAAAGAAAACCCCAAATGTTCAGCAAGCCAAAATACTTATGTTTTAAAGTTGTTAGATCATCATTTTTAACTTTCACATGAATTATAAATCAATTACACTGAGTTCTCAGCATCGTTAAATTTCACAGCACAATAAACAGTTGCATTTTATGTGTGTGTGGGGGGTTACTTACTCCATCTCTCAATGTTATAAATAAACTGGCTGCAGAATAAGCCTCACAAATCTCTTGCTCTTGCTAACTGGTTATAATTTCTGTTCTTTTCTGCAAAACCTAAACCTGCCGCAGAGATTAAAATAAAAGGGATGTTGTACTATTGTCAATTGTAACTATAGGAAATAGTTCTCATCCAGGTAATAAACCCACCAGCTTTTTTTTTTTTTTTAACCAGCTGTTGGGATTACTTTCAATATTACCTGAAGTAACTACTACTGCACTCCTGGTGATGGAGGATTGAGTTTAACAGGAGCTTTTGGCTCAGGTGAGAGCCTTGTGGTTGGAACACTCCTTTGATGCAGCTCCCTTGAGCAGGTATTGATTTAATGCCACAACAGGTAGGAAAGGTCCATCTGTAATGTCTGCAGCTCTGTACTTTGTACCACTACTCTGTAGCTTCGCTAATTTCTTAAACTCTTGCAAGAAACCAAAGCCTGGTAACCCTCAAATACACGTGCAATTGTCCTTAAGACAAGAGGTTACTTTTGGGATGTTCACACAGCACTCAGCAGAAAATAACTGGAATGAGCCTGGCTATTTTTATTTGTACATGCACAAAGTCATTATTTCATTAATTTTGTGACCAGTGTGATAAAACCAGCAGCTCAGCCCAGTGGCACCACGGGATGTTGGACCTTCATCATAAGAGGATTTAATGAAGGAAGAAAGACCCAAAACAATCTTGTCCCTGCAGGGGGCTTGGACTACATAACCATTAAAGGTCCCTTCCAACCCAAACCATTCTATGACTCTTACGTTTCAGTACCCTAAAGATTCTCCAAAACCATTCAGTAACAGAAAGTCAGCTTGACCTACCAACTCCAACGAGACACTGAAGCACCGAGGGGAACTTACATGCAAGAACGGAGAGCCAAGGAGGCGTATAACTTCATCTATGAGTCTCAACAGCATGAGAAACGTCGGGTCTTCATAATCAAACCTTTTCCCAAAGAGAATAGCACAGGTGATGTTGGTGGGGGCCATACTCAAAAATTGTAATTTGAAAGGTCCACCTAGAAATGAACAAAATCTTAACTCCATCAGTCATTTCTGGAGCAACCCAGTGGCTTTGTAAAGTACCATGAAACACGGGATGCCATCTCCAGCTCACCTTTGAAGGACTTGATCGACTCAGTGAGAAAGTGAAGCTCCTCAACCATCCTTTCTTCTCCAAGATGCTTCCCCATGCCGAGATCCCGCATGGTGGCTAAGGTGAACCGCCGTGTCGTCTTCCAGAGTTCTTGAGAAGAAAAGAACACACCTACGGAGGGATTGCATGCTCTGTTTGCCGAGGTGGTACAGGATTTTCTCAGAAACACTCAAAAGCACAGCCGGGGAGCGCAGGGGGTTTTCAACCTGGTGGAGCCCGTTTGGGAGAGGACTGGGGGGTGCTCTGCGGGGGGCTGGCTTGGGAAAACACCACCCCAGGCAAGTTCAGGAGGGCAGGAGGCAATATTTCAAACAGTTGGGGGTTGTTCACACCAAAGCTGTGGGTTTGGCTCATGTATAGCTTTGTCTCTTTGCAGCCATATGCAGTAAAAAGCTCTCTGCGTGGTATTTGTCTCAGGCTGACTTGTTTTTCCTCAGAAAAATGCCCCAGCTGTTTCAGAGAGCAGATGACACCGCTCTGTCCCTGTCATGAACAGGACAAACGATTTCACTGAACAACATGCGTTTTAGAGGACGAGGACGGGGGGACGGGAGGCACCTCTGCTTACACTGGGGATTCCCCCTCAGCTGGATAACCCACCCCCCAAATAAATGCTTGGCCAAGAGGGCATGGAGGTGTTTGGGTACAACTCACAAGTCCTCCCCTCCCAGGAGGGCTTCCAGGGCTGAACATAGTCTACACCTTCATGGGGTGGTTGGGAAAGTAGCGCAGAGCACCCTTCCTCACGCAGGGCCTCACTCTTAAAAAAAGATACAAAAAACCCCCCACACGCTGTATGCATTATATACATATTAGGTCATCAGATCTTTTTCTTTCAGCCCTGGATTATTCCCTTCATTGTTTTTCAATGTCTAGTCTTGGGCAATGTATTACTTTTTAACATGCAACTCAGAAACAGGCCAAAAATCTGTTTACAGAAGTAATTGTTTGAGGTACAAATAGCCCGTGCTATTGCACTCTTGCCAGTTCTTGCAGTCTTTATCATGAGTCATGCGTGATCCACACTTTGTCTGAACTCCCAGTAACTGTAGAGAAGAGATTGCATAAGGACCTCAGCCTTCACATTGTGAAAAATAATTTCCTTCCCTCTGCGCTGAAAAAAAAACCCGCCCTTGAAACGTGACCCAAGTGCCACTAGAAGCAAAAAAACCTGATAAGGCAAATAAGAAAATCCCCAGAAATATTTTTCTTGAGAAAATAAACAACTGCCCCCAAGCCCCACAAAATGCAGCCCTCGGCGATGAGGACACAGGTCGAGACTCTTAAATATTGTCACGATTGAAACAACACAGGTGAGAAAGAGCAGAGCAAGCACGTCCTGACGGGCTCATCCTGCCAGTACCGTTCCCGTGCTGGATGTGGTAGAATATGGGTATTGCTGGTCTGTCCACAAACACCTCCGCCGTGTTCAGAAGGGCATCCTTTACCGCCTCGTAGCCGGTCAACACCACCACCCTCTGGAAGCCCAGGTGGACGGTGAACACGGGGCCATATTTCTCTGAAATCTAGAAGGAGAGAAAAATCAGAGCACGGAAGTCATCGGTAGGAGCGGCACGTCCTGCTGGGGCGGCTGAAGAGTCGCCTTCCCTCCTCCTTCTATGGCCAAAGGGATACCAGATGTTTGACCCAACAACTTCCATAAAACTGCTGTCCTTCTGAGCTGGTTGGGCTCAGGTTTGCCCAGTGGGATAAAGAGGCAGAAGGTAACAAGGCACTTTGGACACCACCAGCAACATAAAAGCATGGCCGAGATCTTTGTCTGCTCTGCCCTGACTGCAAAGGACAGAGGATGACGAGAGGGTCCTCCAGGCTGCAACCACAGACCCCTTTCCCAGTTGGTTTCAGCAGAAGACCCCTTCCCAGTTGGCTTCTTCATGCTACGGGGGGGAAGAAGGCACTGGTAGGGACGGGTTTCAGCAGAAGACCCCTTCCCAGTTGGCTTCTTCATGCTACGGGGGGGAAAAAAGACACTGGTAGTGAAAATGTGCCCAATACCTTCCCCCAAGTCTGTGCTTCACCAGGATGCTCCTGGGTCCTCACATCACTCTGCTTTGCTTATTCTTCCCAGCATGTCCATAAACCACCCCAAAACCCTCCTCTCCCCTCCTCTGGTCTTGCAGAAACAGGACCCACAGGCCAAATCGATTCCCCACCTCCCAGGCAAAACCCTCCTCTCCCCTCCTCTGGTCTTGCCAGAAACGGGACCCACAGGCCAAATCAGTTCCCCACCTCCCAGGCCGTCCTGGGTTGAGTGACATGGGACTAACTTTTCTTGCTTTCCTTGATTCCCCTTTCCAGGTGGGGAGGGCTCATGGGGTGAGAGAATAATTGTCTAAACGACAATAAATTGTTATGGGTTTGCTCAAACCATAACACAAGCTCCGGGTGTTGAGCGCACAGGGAGCTGGCGGGACTACGATGAAGATGCATCTCCACAGGCATCTTGGAGGCCCCTCACATGGATGTGCCCAATACCTTCCCCCAAGTCTGTGCTTCACCAGGATGCTCCTGGGTCCTCACATCACTCTGCTTTGCTTATTCTTCCCAGCATGTCCATAAACCACCCCAAAACCCTCCTCTCCCCTCCTCTGGTCTTGCCAGAAACGGGACCCACAGGCCAAATCAGTTCCCCACCTCCCAGGCCGTCCTGGGTTGAGTGACATGGGACTAACTTTTCGTGCTTTCCTTGATTCCCCTTTCCAGGTGGGGAGGGCTCATGGGGTGAGAGAATAATTGTCTAAACGACAATAAATTGTTATGGGTTTGCTCAAACCATAACACAAGCTCCGGGTGTTGAGCGCACAGGGAGCTGGCGGGACTACGATGAAGATGCATCTCCACAGGCATCTTGGAGGCCCCTCACATGGCACGGGGACAGGAAGGAGACCGGGAGAGCCACCTCCTCCTCCCTACCTCGTGCTCAGCTGATCAGAGGGCTCGGTGTCAGGTGCAGGATCTTCCCACCCCTCATGTCTCAACATTGGGAATTGCCCGCTGGGCCACATTTTGGCCCTGAGAGACTAAATACATTGAAATTCTCTCCCCCCTTTTCTGGCAGACAGATGCAAAGCAACTGTGGTTCCTGCAGAGAACCTTGTCTTGCGTAAACCCAAGTCATTCACAGTTTCAAACAGTTTCTCCTCCATCTCTTCTTGGGGCTGGGCTGTATTAATTCCCATTCTCATGAAAAACTGGCAACGCGAATAAGAAATACAAGCTATTTTGGCAACGGCGATTAAGCATCCATCATTCTATTTGGCTACGTGGACACTCAAATATTTTAAAGTATTTCACAACACACGAAAGGTGCCAAAATTCAGGCCCATTGGTCTGATCTGGTACAGATACTTGTAGTTTTCGACGCGTGAGCAGTTCTCGTGTGAGCGCTGCTCGCATTTATCCTTGGGATTTAACAGTTTCCTTGGCCATTCCGAAAGCTTTAAAACATTACAGTTGTTTAAAAATGCATTTGGCACCAAAACTCATCGCAAAACTGTCACTGGTGGAGGATTTTAAATAGGCACGGGCTGACATTCAAAAAATAAAAGGATGGTTGTTCTTACCTTCATTAGAGACTTGTCCTGTCTCCTGATGTCCAGCAGATGCAGGTTGCCGATGATCGGAAGAGGAAACGGACCGGGAGGCAAATTTAAAGCTGACTCCTTGAAAACTTTTAAAACATAGAGGATGGCTGATAAAAGCAAGGCGCCCGCTCCGTAGATGAAGAGGAGGGTGAAGGCAGCCATGTCCCCGTGGAGCTTGCCCTTCTGCAAAGCCACTGAGACACCTTTATGAGAACGCTCGCATTAGCGCATTATATTTATTCAGAGTTAATGATGTCAGGGGTTTTTTTTCTGCACTTTGCACAATCTTCCCCTCCACCCCCAGCTCTCCACAAAAATTGGAATTTTTGTCTGCAAAAGGCAAAGTCCAAGCCCCACTGGTGGAGGTGCAGGCGTGAGGGCTCCCTGCTCAGCGCTTCATTTCCAGAGCCCAGCTCAGATTCTTCTGCCTGTGATAACTTCACAGAATGTCTCCAGGGATGGGGCATCTACCACCTCTCTTTTTCCTGGGAGTCCCATATTTATTATTAGGCACCGGCCATAAATTTCTCTTAAGATTTCCTCTCCATCCTTCTCTTCCATCTTTTTCTCCGAGCACAGACAGCTCTTTCTGCCTTCTCCCTTTTTACCTTACAAATGCTGATCCCAAAATCATCCTTCAGGTGGACGAGCATTGATCATCCCATGGTGCAGTGAAGGAGAAGCAGGTCCTGCAGGCGAAGGGACCTTCTCCAGGCCACGTGTCACCTGGGTGGAGGGCTGATGGGCAGCATCTTCCCGCCTCTTCCACCTTCTTGCATCATTGCATTGCAGCATTTTCTCCCTATGAAGGGAAACAGAACCGGGAAATCTTCATTTGTAAAACAACCAGGACCCGTTTGCTGGGACTGGGAGTTCTGCTGCTTATCTCTGTGCTCTTCCTATGCACTGACACTTTGAGTCTGGACTGGGCAGCCCTGGAGCTTGAACGACCCACCAGCCCCGTGTGAAACACATAACAAGGCACTTCTACAGCTCTTACTCTTCTTACTGCGGGTTACGACACAGAAAGCCCAATAAACTGCAGAGCTGCTGATCCTCCTCTTGGTTTTCTCCCTGTCAAAGGCTGGCGAAAAACTAATTCACTGCTACAAACTCCAAAGCTGCAATTCGGTGCCTTCCCTCCCTCTGCCAGCAGTGGCTCTTCCAGTGAGGGGTATTTCTTCCCGCTCCCCAGCCAGTGTTAGCTGGTACCACCTTCACTCCATGTGCAACAAAAGGGATACAAACCCCATGTCTTGGAGAGCTGGATTGTTGAATCAATACCAATGTGGAAGACTTTGTAAAAGATCTGTTGTTCCCACTGGCTTCTGGCAGTGTCTAACAGAGCGAGATCCGTCGGAGACCTTACTGGAAACAGACACCACTTCTGTAAAATTTTTTTGTAAAATCACAGACGATGCAATGGTCCCGCCAGTAGGAAAAGAGCATTTGACATCTTTTCCTTGAGCCCTTTTAGATCACAAGGGTTTTGTACTGCTCCACACTGTGATATGAGATGGTATCAGCCCTGCAGACACTTTGGGACCGTTCCAAGGTGCAGCAAGGATCGCACTCACACTGGACAAGATGTGCACTCAGACCTGGACTCTCCCATCCATCTCAGGCCACGAGGGACTGGAGAGGAGGTGACCTCAACTCGGCACCAAAACTCATCGCAAAACTGTCACTGGTGGAGGATTTTAAATAGGCACGGGCTGACATTCAAAAAATAAAAGGATGGTTGTTCTTACCTTCATTAGAGACTTGTCCTGTCTCCTGATGTCCAGCAGATGCAGGTTGCCGATGATCGGAAGAGGAAACGGACCGGGAGGCAAATTTAAAGCTGACTCCTTGAAAACTTTTAAAACATAGAGGATGGCTGATAAAAGCAAGGCGCCCGCTCCGTAGATGAAGAGGAGGGTGAAGGCAGCCATGTCCCCGTGGAGCTTGCCCTTCTGCAAAGCCACTGAGACACCTTTATGAGAACGCTCGCATTAGCGCATTATATTTATTCAGAGTTAATGATGTCAGGGGTTTTTTTTCTGCACTTTGCACAATCTTCCCCTCCACCCCCAGCTCTCCACAAAAATTGGAATTTTTGTCTGCAAAAGGCAAAGTCCAAGCCCCACTGGTGGAGGTGCAGGCGTGAGGGCTCCCTGCTCAGCGCTTCATTTCCAGAGCCCAGCTCAGATTCTTCTGCCTGTGATAACTTCACAGAATGTCTCCAGGGATGGGGCATCTACCACCTCTCTTTTTCCTGGGAGTCCCATATTTATTATTAGGCACCGGCCATAAATTTCTCTTAAGATTTCCTCTCCATCCTTCTCTTCCATCTTTTTCTCCGAGCACAGACAGCTCTTTCTGCCTTCTCCCTTTTTACCTTACAAATGCTGATCCCAAAATCATCCTTCAGGTGGACGAGCATTGATCATCCCATGGTGCAGTGAAGGAGAAGCAGGTCCTGCAGGCGAAGGGACCTTCTCCAGGCCACGTGTCACCTGGGTGGAGGGCTGATGGGCAGCATCTTCCCGCCTCTTCCACCTTCTTGCATCATTGCATTGCAGCATTTTCTCCCTATGAAGGGAAACAGAACCGGGAAATCTTCATTTGTAAAACAACCAGGACCCGTTTGCTGGGACTGGGAGTTCTGCTGCTTATCTCTGTGCTCTTCCTGTGCACTGACACTTTGAGTCTGGACTGGGCAGCCCTGGAGCTTGAACGACCCACTAGCCCCGTGTGAAACACATAACAAGGCACTTCTACAGCTCTTACTCTTCCTTACTGCAGGTTATGACACAGAAAGCTCAATAAATTGCAGAGCTGCTGATCCTCCTCTTGGTTTTCTCCCTGTCAAAGGCTGGCGAAAAACTAATTCACTGCTACAAACTCCAAAGCTGCAATTCGGTGCCTTCCCTCCCTCTGCCAGCAGTGGCTCTTCCAGTGAGGGGTATTTCTTCCCGCTCCCCAGCCAGGTTTTTACCTTACAAATGCTGATCCCAAAATCATCCTTCAGGTGGACGAGCATTGATCATCCCATGGTGCAGTGAAGGAGAAGCAGGTCCTGCAGGCGAAGGGACCTTCTCCAGGCCACGTGTCACCTGGGTGGAGGGCTGATGGGCAGCATCTTCCCGCCTCTTCCACCTTCTTGCATCATTGCATTGCAGCATTTTCTCCCTATGAAGGGAAACAGAACCGGGAAATCTTCATTTGTAAAACAACCAGGACCCGTTTGCTGGGACTGGGAGTTCTGCTGCTTATCTCTGTGCTCTTCCTATGCACTGACACTTTGAGTCTGGACTGGGCAGCCCTGGAGCTTGAACGACCCACCAGCCCCGTGTGAAACACATAACAAGGCACTTCTACAGCTCTTACTCTTCTTACTGCGGGTTACGACACAGAAAGCCCAATAAACTGCAGAGCTGCTGATCCTCCTCTTGGTTTTCTCCTTGTCAAAGGCTGGCGAAAAACTAATTCACTGCTACAAACTCCAAAGCTGCAATTCGGTGCCTTCCCTCCCTCTGCCAGCAGTGGCTCTTCCAGTGAGGGGTATTTCTTCCCGCTCCCCAGTCAGTGTTAGCTGGTACCACCTTCACTCTACATGCAAAAAAAGGGATATAAACCCCATGTCTTGGAGAGCTGGATTGTTGAATCAATACCAATGTGGAAGACTTTGTAAAAGATCTGTTGTTCCCACTGGCTTCTGGCAGTGTCTAGCAGAGTGAGATCCGTCGGAGACCTTACTGGAAACAGACACCACTTCTGTAAAATTTTTTTGTAAAATCACAGACGATGCAATGGTCCCATCAGTAGGAAAAGAGCATTTGACATCTTTTCCTTGAGCCCTTTTAGATCACAAGGGTTTTGTACTGCTCCACACTGTGATATGAGATGGTATCAGCCCTGCAGACACTTTGGGACCATTCCAAGGTGCAGCAAGGATCGCACTTACACTGGACAAGATGTGCACTCAGACCTGGACTCTCCCATCCATCTCAGGCCACGAGGGACTGGTCAACTTAAACCATCCATCCATCCCAAACCCTCTTGTGTTACACCAGCACCTGTGGTAAGAGCAGGAGACAGGGAGTGTGGATACACGTGTTTGGGTCCTTGCTTGGACAATGACTTAATGTGGAAGACTTTGTAAAAGATCTGTTGTTCCCACTGGCTTCTGGCAGTGTCTAGCAGAGTGAGACCCGTCGGAGACATTACTGGAAACAGACACCACTTCTGTAAAATTTTTTTGTAAAATCACAGACGATGCAATGGTCCCATCAGTAGGAAAAGAGCATTTGACATCTTTTCCTTGAGCCCTTTTAGATCACAAGGATTTTGTACTGCTCCACACTGTGATATGAGATGGTATCAGCCCTGCAGACACTTTGGGACCATTCCAAGGTGCAGCAAGGATCGCACTTACACTGGACAAGATGTGCACTCAGACCTGGACTCTCCCATCCATCTCAGGCCACGAGGGACTGGTCAACTTAAACCATCCATCCATCCCAAACCCTCTTGTGTTACACCAGCACCTGTGGTAAGAGCAGGAGACAGGGAGTGTGGATACACGTGTTTGGGTCCTTGCTTGGACAATGACTTGTCTACGTGGCTTTGAGGAGCGTGCCCCACGTCCCATGGGACATCCCCAGAGCCTGTGTCAGGGCTGGGCTGAGAACCCAGCTTCGTGCCTGGAGCATCCCTGGGGCTGACTCACTCCTGCCCTTTCACCGTAGCCATTTCTGGGAGGGCTTTGGGCTCCCTGCAGAAAGGAGACAAGCGGGACACGGTGTAGGAATGGCATCATCTCACACCGTAAGAATTATGAAAGCAAGAGGCAGAGAGATGTCACTCTGGCACTAAAAATGCCTTTATGATTCCCAAAGGGAAGGGAACAAGGAAGCAATCAGCACCCGGCCTGCCCAGCGGGAGGAAAGGTTACTCATTACCTGTGGGGTGAAAGAGGCAAAGCTGGGCAAGATAACAGCATCTCAGATGGCCTACAAAAACATTTGCACCCAAGAGATGCAAGTTAAAAATTAAAGTGAAAATTAATCTTTATCTAGGAGTAAATGATCTCTCTGAAAAAAAAAAAAAATCAAACCCTCCCTGGTCAGGGCAGGGTCATGTCACAAGTCACAGGAGAAATGACAGAAAAGGAGGCACAGAGAGAAAAGCCCTTACGCAGAGCGCCCCGGGACCCAGCCACCCACGGAGCTGGAGTTGGGAAAGAAAGTCCTTGGGCTGTGTGTAATTATTTGGAGGTCGGGCCCTTCCAAATAAACCACGGTCTCCTTCCCACATCTGCCCTTGGAGCCAGCCATGGGCAGGTGGGGTTAAAAATGCAGAGTGTGACAAATGGCATTGCTGGGGGTGTCCTGCTGTAACTCGGCATAGCACGGGCCAGCAGGTTGCTCCAGCCCTGCTCCTTTGGGAATGGGAATGGTGAAGGTGGGAGAGGGAGCCTTCAACATCTTGCATCATCGCCCCAGGCTCCTCCTTCCCCAGCACCACTGGCAAACCCAGCTGTGGCACATTTTAAAGCAGGATTTGCTGTGCTTTTTAAAATTCTCCTTCCCTGGCGCCCTCATCCCATCTGCCCGGTCTCTGATCCTTCAAGCTTCAATCCCAGGTTTTAGCTGGTTCTTAATTGTGTACAAATGTGACATATTTAAGATAAATACTTTCTTGCTCCTTTCAT